AGAACAAGCTGATGGCAAGGTCCTCCCCCCCCGGGATACCGTTCCGGATGCTCAAGTTCGACAAAAAACTCTGTTGACAGAAGTGATTTCTGCCTTCTACGGCTATGAGAGAAGATGGATCAATCATGCGGCTGGCCGCCTGAGAAAAGGAAAAAAAAGTTAGAGTTGGACTGTCGGTCTTTCATTACCTTCATTGGGTGATTTTGCCGCCCTTTTTTTCATGAAGTTAATGATGCAGTGCTGATCTTCATTTCTATGAAATGTGCCAGTAGTGCTATATTCTTTTGAGGCAGAGTCGTGGGACAAGCGTAGCGTATAGTCTCCTGTTGTTTTCCCACAGAGTGGTACTCATATATTAACTTCAGAAGGAAGAATGGCTAGTGACCCTGATTGATGCTTGAACTCGGGACCCTTCGGTTCTGAATTCGACACTTTACCGACTGAACAACCCAGGCCTAAAGTAATGTATAGTAAATTTCTTTTTCAAGGGAATTCGTCACCACGACAAGGTTGCCTTCTAACGGAATCGAACCCGGCACCTCCGCAGTTCGAAGGAGACCTCTTAACCAGCTGTTCCAGCACGCCACTAGAGAGATAACTGTGAATGTCAAGAACAAACTGAGTTCCCGCCGGACCACGGACGTCGAGTCGGCCGTTGAAAAACATGCTGGACGATCCGGTGGTCAAAGTATTTGGTTAGCGGTTGAGGCGAGGAACAGAGAATAATGAATGTTGGAGAAGCGTCGACTTGCGTTTATGGCGCACCCTTAATGAGGACAAGTTGGATAATGGACGGCGAAAATTCTTAAACTTTCACACTTTATGCGTTTTACCGCGAGGACGTTCGTTAGCACATCTGATTAGACAATGCATGAAAACAAGCGTATTAAGCTATCTAGCAGACTCGAAAATTGCAGAACTTTTTCATGATACGTTTCCGAAAAATTGCCACATTACTGTTATTCCATTAACTTGTCCGACTTGACCTCGTTATGGGTGCGCTATGAACTCAAGTCGACGATCCTCCGTCGCGGTAGCCTGCACTTATTTTTCCGGTTTCCATCTGTCTCTCTGAGCGTTTTTGGCGAGTAATTGTTTTGCAATTCAATTTGGGTGCCAAACCTCGCGTGTTTTTGCCAACGTTTCCCCAACTTTCCTTCAGTCAAATGGATTCAGAGATGTGGAGCACTTTAGGAGTTTCTGGTCGCGTAAAGATACTACTGGCGAGTGAATAACGGCACCGCCGCCTCAATCTACCAGAGCGGACGCCCGCACTAATTTCAGGCCCTTATGTAGAGGGAAACCATGTAGAAAACCTCATTATACCCGTTTCTAATGCGCGGCATTCGTTAGTGAAAGCGAATATATGTCCTACATAGCTATTTGCAATTCCAGGAGGACATTTTTGAATAGAATTTTGTCATAGTGGCGTGTGTCGTGCTTTGCATGAGAGTATAGTCGTATCGAAATAGGTAAAAATATTATTCAAGAGGCATCAATGCACTTTAAGTACTAAAAACACAAAGGAGCGGTGGTACGCTTAAACGTTCCATGGACACCTAAGAGAAAGGGAATTATCCCATGATATCGCAAAACCTAATACGGTTGTATTTACTGAAATAATTGCATGAGTATATGAACGCTCTTTATTAGTTAGCCTAAATGATTGATTTTGGTACATTTTTGCCTTCGATATTGGCCAACTTTCATAAAAGTGGCGTCATGTTGACGTCACGAAGAGCGACTACTGACCAAAATACGAAATTTATGTTATGACAAAGCTAGGTAGACTGCACTTCTTCATTTTTTCATTATATGTAACACGGAACTAATCTCGAAATATTGAACTACGGAAACGATATTAAACAGAGAGGTATTCTCTCACTTCTTTAAAACACAAGGGTAATGCGTCACTCATCGTATTTGTGTCCAAAGAGAGCGTGGCAAAGCATCACACTACAGCTTCATGCAGTGTACACTCTAAGTAGAGGAAAATGGGTGGCACCGAAGTTTGTTGGAAAAACGAGCATAACTAAATGATCGAGAATCACTTAACTGTATACATGCAGCACATTTTTGATTTTTGGGTACGTGGTTTTTTTTTACAGCACTCGGCACAGGTTTGCTGTAAACGGTGCAGGTATGATTTCAGAGGTAGGGTAAAGTATGATTTTGGGATGGGAATGTTAGTCCTCAGGGTTTAAGTTTGGACTTTGATTCATGACAGACGAAACAAATAGCTGAAGGTCACTATAATGTGCGAAGGCGAAGCACAATTTTGCAACGCCTCCAAAATTCATTTGGAGGCAGAATAAGAACGAGCAAGCCGGTTACGGCAGCAATGCGAAACGGCTCCTCAGCTCATCGATTACTTGAGAAAATGAAACTCCAATCAATAATACACTAAGAACGTCACGCTCTAATTAATCGGAGTATGAGGAAAAACAAAAACAGCAAAGATAAATGCAAAGGTTGCCCTTAAAGTTATTTCCAAGTCGTCAGACAACGGCTAATGCCGTAACGATTGGGTTGTTATATGGAATGCGCCGCTATGCCAACGAGGTGGCCTGTTGTAAGTATAGCGGTGCGTTCTGCGACAGACAATGAATAACCGCTTATTGAAACATCAGAGTAAAACGGGTGAATAACGGCGTGGAGCCATGCATTTATTTCAGTCAAGAAGTTCATTAAACACAGCAAAATTATGTTCGTTCATGGTTGCGTTACGGCGGCAAAGTTTATTGCGACTACTGAAATGGCGGATTCGCTATGCTAAACAAATACGACTGTGGCAGCTTTTTACATAGTTACAGGTACAGATAGAAAGTTTTTGCAAATGGAACTACGGTTCGGCGTTGTCCAGCAATTTTCGTTCTCTCAACATCCGTCCCAACTGGTCAGCGAAGACGCGATGATAACAATATCATGATCAGCATAGTGATCATCACGTAACCAAAGTGGCCGTTGATAATAGCTGAGGTTGCTGCATTATCTACAACAAAAAATGTAGATCAACCGCGATGCGATGCAACTGTGCAACTCAAGCGCTCGCAATACTGACGACAATTACGCGCAGGTGATTAACGCCAGAGACATCGGGGGAAACGTGCCGTATCGTAAACCGTTTCACGTCCGTACCGGGGTCTACGAACTGGACATCTACGACACAAGGACATTCACCGTCGGTCGGACAACACGGTCACGCAGCCAGTCAGCTCACCGTAACCTTGGCCATAAACAGGCAGCGATTGAAACTGGCTGTCGCACTGGATTGGGCAGTTTCCGGTAAGTCGGGGCAAATCCGCCGAAAGACTACGTGGGAATTTTTCAGCTGTTTGTCTCCCGAGTCACAACGGCGTTACTGAAGCTCACACCAATCGCCAATATTGTAATCACCATACATTTTGTCGCTGTCATCAATTCGAGCAAATATGGCAGCGACGTAAGCATGGAAACTCAAAACAGCATCTGGCATTGTGTTTACAAAATAACTAATAAGTAAAAATGACTGAATCTGTCAAGAGCAAGAAAATTAATCACTTGATTAACCAAACCGTATTTCGATGAAAATCACGTTGTAGCGAAATAGTCCAATTACCAGGCAGATATTATATATATATCCCAGTTTCTATCCCAACCAGTTTCTATTTCGGTTTCTTCAACCGACAAGACTGAATTAACACTAAACTAATAAAATAAGCAGTGAAAAAAATATTCACTCCACGCAGATTGTCTAAGAACGGGCGAAAAAAGAGAGAAATTTTTTTATCAGTATATAAAAATCATACATGATTTCTTTATGCGTGGTCTTCCCGTTTGTGACTTACCAAAGGACCAAAGGACTATATATATATAGCTGTTCTTTCTCATTACGTGGCCAAAATACCATAATCTTTAATCATGTTCATTTCTTATGAATGAGGGTTGAGTGCCAAGCTGTTTAAATACCCACTGACTGATCTGAATGCTTTTCAAGTTCGATTCACGGCTTACAACCGACCAGATCAGAAGTTCTACGAGTTCCAGTTTGATTCAATTACGAATGCTGTGACTATTCCACATTCTGATAAGTTTTGTCGTATAATGTTTTGTGTTTGTTTGCGGTCGACGACTCTCCGTTACGCGGTTCACTATTCTTGCCCCGAAAGAAACCAAAAGGCATGAAGAAAGTGGTCTATTTGAAGTCAACAACATCAGTAGCGTTAATTTTAAAATGTAACTTCTGGCCACTGCCTTCACTTTACACTTCGTCAGGTCAAACTGGAAACCAAGTAGTTTGTTCCGGACGTTGATATTTACTATTCGCTGTTGCAACTCCTCTGGAAATGTCACGTTTATTGCAACGTCACATACGCACAGCAATTTTGTATTTTACTTCTTTACGAATATGAAACTTATAGTGAAGCTTTCAAATCAAATTGGCATAGCAACGTCATTAAACGAAGTGAGTAAATGCACTGGCAGTCCTTATACTCTCCTTTATTGGTAATTAACAAGTAAAAAGGCCTGTGATCGGAACTGTAGTTTAAGGTGTGTCCAATTGTTCTCGCAACAATCGGGTGATATGTGATAAAATAGAATGTTCAACATGATGCCCCAAAGTTTCATGCGACTCATAAGATCAGTGAATTTGGTATATCTCAAGATTAGAGCATGAAAAACCAAGCAAATGACTAAAAACGAAAATCTAAGCCGTGAAACAAACAAAAGCACCTGAACTTTGCGTAAGGGCGAGTGGAATTTGTTTGCCCCCGCCGACACCACAGGTTTAGCTGTTTATCGAAATTTCACTTGGAGTGTAAAGTTATTAGAGGAACGGCACGTTATCCATTTTCAGGTGTTGTCTGCTACTGTTTCTCACGATACCTTGAAGCATACGGTCTTCATACCTCACTCATTTTGGTTCCAATTAGAGAAGACATTAATATGCCATGCAATAACACTGACCTAACACAGGAATTCTACTAACATATATTTACAAATTTTATTGCTTTGCAATTCACAGTTTAGCAAAGTTGTCAATGACGTCTGTCTTTTCATATCTAGGCTTGAATGGTTTATTTCATCAGTCAGCAGAAGCTAGATGCGAAACTGTTTGATCTCTTCTACGATGCTGCTCTCGCGGTGTTCAACTTTACCTTTACCTCACTGCCAACAGTATTTACAGACATTTCATGCTGAAACAATACGTAACGCTGTACCAAGAGATGGTATTTTCCAGATACATGGGTTTAACTTAAAAAAGTGTATCGAAGAGTTAGATTTAACACGAGATGGAGGCCAGTGAAGGAAAAGAAGCACAGTCGGTTTTTTATACAGGCCAACGTATGTGTTCAAGCTCAAAGTAACAGAATTCGTTCGATAAAATCATGAAAACACAGTTGAATTTTGGTTTTCCCAAACGTAAGCTGCGTATTCAATTTTGGAGACTAAATATAACTTATTAGACCTAGAGACTTAGCTAACAGACCCCTTATGGATTGCCCTTATAGTTATCATCCTAGCACTAACACTAGAACTAGCACCGATAGGGAATTACACTAACGCGATTGGCCTCTGTAAGCGTTCAGTCGGTCAGGTGTCTGCTTTATGAAGTGACGGCCTCTTGCAACACAAGCACAGACTTTCGTAACTTCTACAGCCAATTTTACGTTTACTGAGTTCAGACTCGGTTTATCATGGTAGTGGATAGCGGCACGTTGAAATGGCCAATTTTTATTGACCCAGTTGCATCAAAGCTATCTGACTACGACGCTGTTCCACATGTTCTTGGTTGATGACGGAAAATAAGTTGTGTATTGAGACGTGGTCCTATTTTGTTTCACGATTCTGTTCTCGTTCTTCTTTTTCATGGAAATCCAGTGTGCAACGAAATTATCGAACTATATAAGCTTTTTCTCCCAATTTCCCCAATGCTAAGAGTATTACTTAGAAGCAGCTGAACAAATTTTGCAGCAAAACTTTCTCTGCGCATTTCCCATAGTTAGAGCTGATGAATTGCAAATCAATCTTTCGGTTCGTATAGTAAAATCCTTTCATGGGATATTCAATCTTTATTGATGATTGTCTTTAAACACAACGGATGTTTATTTTAAACCAGTATTTCGTGTAATTATTATAATGAGCATTATCAGGAGTCATCAGCAGTTGGTTTTATTGCTTTGTCAGCAACATCTTTAGCCATTTTGTAAAATGGCTCATCTCAACATTTTGCATCATGATGCTAGCAAGTTGACAATCAGTAGACAGAAAGGTCTGTAATGGACAGAAGTTAAAATTTCGATTAACCACTCATCACCTCGGCATAACCTTGCTGCATGTTCCTGCACACCTCAGCAATCATTCAATTATTGTATTTAACAGTTTTAACAGTATAGCAACCAGGGCTTGCAAAGCTGCCTAAATGTAACTTTTCTTACGGCATACTGATATGGAATCCAGGGAATCAACAAGGAGATGAAAAATCAAAAACTTATAAGCAAGAACAACATACATTTTAAAAGAAACATTGAAGACTGAAAAACGGCTACTAAATGGAAAGATAGTGCATCCAGCGTTTGAAGACACAACTTAAAAAAGAAATAGCCGACTAAAATGGTTAAATTTCAGCAGAATTCGTCAGTATAAAACGCAGGTAACAGGCATAACGAAAAGCGCCATACGATTCTTGGACACTGAAGACCTTCGCAGAGGTTACAAACGCCTGGCAATTAGTTTCAGCTGCAAATCGACAGGTTTTCGTTGTTGTCAACCATTGCAGATGAAATATCGCTTCATCAAAAGCGATTTGATTTAAGTAAGCAATTCGTTTGCGTGTGGCAGTCACACGAGCATTAAGACAGCAATCAAGTCGACTGCCAATCAGCGATGAAGACATTATGCTTGAACATTTGCTATAGAAACAAGCCTCAAAGCGCATATACTTGAGATTACTAAATTTGGAGTACGTTTGAAGGCAAGATGATTCTATAATAAGATCTTTTGGCCTGACAGTGATCCCTGGCTGACGAACAGTAAAGTCGCTCATTTTCGAGCATTAATCTTGGAACCTGAATTTGCGAATGATCCAAAAACTGCGCATTGCGCTGCGAAATGTGGTATGCTGAATCTGAAGAGTCATAGTAGCGGATAGAAGGAAGAATCTGTAACGTGACTGTAGAAAAAAGTGATCAAATACACTGAAATTGCACAGGGTCCCGTATGTTTCCAAATGTAATCATCGCTAAGCTACATGAGTGCTTGATTGACCTCATAAAACAAGAAACGAACTAGAAAAATTAAAATCACAGAGCCAAGATGAACTCTTAATGTTGTAGACTTAATATGGATGCAGGTCACACAAGATATGGTGCGATAGAGAGGCCTTGAAGAGCCCTTATCCAGTAGTAGATCGAAGCAGGTATCATTAAACCGCTACACCAACGAAATAA